TAGCTGCAGCGCCGTGGGGAGCACGGCACCCCGCCAGCGGGGCGCGCCGTGCTTGCGGCCCGTTTCTTGCGCTGGTCCTGGCAGGCAGGAGGCCTGGCTTTGCGAGGCGTCGGGTGCTTAGAGCCAGCGTTAGCTCGGCGCGTAGGGCGGGCGCTTTTGAGGTTTTATGCTCTCTAGTGAGTAAGAGAAGTAGGCGAGTCGCGTGCTGGCTCTGGCCGCTTCGTTGCCTAAATAAGGAACCGGCGAGCGCTTAAATACTACCTCGAACCAGGGAACTGCCCTGAGCTCTTCCTGCTCTTTTCACGTAAGGAAAACGCTGTGTTCCGCATCGCTTGCTGGGCATCGTCGCATACCACAGTCTTTAGAAGAGCAGTTCTTCACTAAGCGAGCTTAGGTATTTACGTTCTGGTTTAGCCTTTCTATTTCCAACAACTCTGTCCCTGCTGTTCACAATAAGTTTTACCTACAGACTGTGAAAACGATCTGCTGGTCCAGAGCCCAGGGGCAACCATTTGATTTGCGTTGTGAGCGCAAATTGCTGGACTAGCGTACATTCTTCAGGGCTGGTTAAGCGTTCCAGCTTCTGATTTCTTGCTCAACAATAAAATACATACCTGCAAATATGTGGCAGAGGCGAGCGTTGCCGTGCAGGAGGTATGTGAGATACAACAGCAGGCATCTCTACCAACTTGGTACAAAAAGCTTTATTTCTGCAGAATAACTTCACTGTAGTTAGTTATGACTGTTTTTACAGGTTTTGCATCTGAATTGTAACCATTCCTCTTTCCTTCCATGTGGTGTTACCTTGTGTTTTATGGTTTCTGCGTACATGTACGATCAAGTTATAAATTGAGTGCAAACACAAAAAGAAAAGAAAGTGTTTCAGCTGCTGAGCAGCTCCCCTACCCCCCCATATAACTGGGGCTGCAAAAACGTCGCTATATGGAAAATGTTGTATGGAATCTTGCCTTTTGCAGATATGCTTAAAATACTTTCTTTTAGATTTTTTTTTTCCAGTATAGGGTTGTAATAGGAGAGGGATGAGCTTACTTATCTTTTAGTGGGTAAGAGATTTTTCCATCCCTAGCTCTAAGCCTTCACTTCTCTGTCACTGCTATTATGTTCTGTATTTAAATGTTGACAACTAATTTCATTCTTTCAGATTAAGCACTCTGTAAGTAGGCTTACTGCAAATTAGGTGTCAGTTAAGGAGCTATAAAAATTATGAACTTCTTAATAATAAGATAAAAGAAGCGAGATCTTGAAGTTTGCATAGTCATTTAGCAAATCAGAATTTAATCAGCTTTTTAGTTCAGAAATTGGATGGTTGCAGTGTTCTCTGCAGAGCAATAGGTATAGTTCCTCGCGGTCCAGGATCCCGACACATTGGCACCCTCCACCCTCTCCCCAGTATAATAATTCAGTCTGAATAAAGAACTGCAGAACTGCTTCTCCAGCAGGTAGTGGTGGGCAGCACCGTTTGAATTTTAATGATACTGAAATTAGAGCAGGTATCATAGTGCCTTCGAGCGTCACGATGCAAACGGGAACTTTTTGGAACAAGTGTTTGGGGGTTTTGTGGAGCTGTAGGTGGGAGCGAGGATCCTTCTCCTGCCCTTACTGGTGATGTTGGGGAGTGTGGGTAGCTGCCGGTGCGGTGAGGACGTGGAAATGGTGATGGATACCAGGACGCTGAGCCTGTCCGCCTGGGACCCGCTCCCTTGCTCACCCCGGGAAGTGCCTCACCAGCTCCCGCCCCTCGCCTGTTGATGGCGGAGGCCGGCCCAGCTCCCAGCCTTACCTGGGTCTGACCTCTCCAGAGGGCGAGAGAGGTTTTCTGGGGATCTCTGGGGACCTGTGGGGATTTCCTCTCCAGGTGGAAGGCACTCAGTGAGGTGAGGCAAGGATCTCCCCCTTCTCCTGCGCTCCTCTGCCTGTTCAGAGTGCGGTAACCTCTGCTCCAGCAGCCCAGGGCCCCGCTGGCTCTGTGGGTCCTTTTTTGCCCCTTTGTGCAGAGGGAGGGACTCCTGTTCCGGGCATGGAGAGGGAAGAGAGAGCTGGGCCCGGCTGGGGAAGCGCAGCAGGGCTTGGCTGCACCGCAGCAGCGCTAAGTAGGCCGTGAGGCAAGTAGCAGAAAGGCACTTAAGAACTTTGAAAACTTTGTCTCAAATAAGCCGGTTCTTTTCTTTATTTATCTCTACTTATTTTTATTTCGGTCGCTGTTCAGTTCTCTCAAATATCTGATGTAGAATCCTATCATGTATTCAGTGCTTCAGACAATATGCATTTTACTCCAGAACAAAAAAGAAAAAAAAAAGGGTGGTGGTTTGAGGTTTTTTAAGGCAAAGATTAATATAGCATACATTATTAATAAACATTTGATTGTCCTGGATTTAACTTGTGTGAAAAAGCATAATGCATAAGTGTTGAAGAAGTAAATTGGAAAGTAATAGACCTAATTAAGATAAAAGCAAAAATGGAAAAAATATTTTTTAAATGTTACGTACGGCATGTCTAAGTAACACGAGTAATGAAGCTGTTGAAATGAAGCCCTGAGTAACGCGTTAAAAATTCTGTTTGTCACAGATGGACCAGTCGTCTCCAACCTACATGCTTGCCAACTTAACCCACTTGCATTCGGAACAGCTTCTGCAAGGCTTGAACCTCCTTCGCCAGCATCACGAGCTCTGTGACATTATCCTTAGAGTTGGCGATGTCAAGATCCATGCCCACAAAGTGGTGCTTGCCAGCATCAGCCCATACTTCAAAGCCATGTTCACTGGGAACCTTTCCGAGAAGGAAAACTCAGAGGTGGAGTTCCAGTGCATTGATGAGGCAGCCCTGCAGGCCATCGTGGAGTACGCCTACACGGGAACCGTGTTTATCTCGCAAGACACCGTGGAGTCGCTTCTCCCAGCTGCCAATCTTCTCCAGATCAAACTGGTAGTGAAGGAGTGTTGTGCGTTTCTTGAAAGCCAGCTTGATCCTGGCAACTGCATCGGGATTTCTCGTTTTGCAGAGACCTATGGCTGCCATGACCTCTACTTGGCTGCTAACAAGTACATTTGTCAAAACTTTGAAGATGTTTGTCAGACGGAAGAATTTTTTGAGCTTACGCATTCCGAATTGGACGAAATTGTTTCCAATGACTGCTTGAATGTTGTGACAGAAGAAACCGTTTTTTACGCGCTAGAGTCCTGGATCAAATACGACGTGCAGGAGCGACAGAAGTACTTGGCGCAGCTGCTGCATTGCGTTCGGTTGCCGCTGCTGAGCGTTAAGTTTCTTACGAGGCTGTACGAAGCAAACCATCTCATTCGCGATGACCATACTTGTAAACATCTGCTAAACGAGGCCCTAAAATACCACTTTATGCCTGAACACAGACTTTCCCACCAGACCATGCTGATGACACGACCTCGCTGCGCTCCTAAAGTGCTTTGTGCTGTAGGAGGAAAAGCCGGACTGTTTGCGTGCCTGGAAAGGTAAGTGGTGGTAAAGTTGTTGCAGCACTTGGCTGGTGTGATGTTCGTTCCCGTTTGTTGTTGCTGTGGGTCAGGATTAAGACAACCATTGGAGAGCTGTGGTTTGCAAGACTCTAGTTACTGCTTTCCTTCATAAGAACTCTTCAGTAGATTTTTTTTTTTTTTTTGAACAAAGATGAGCACTGAATTCAAAATGCTTTTTGATTTCATGAGTAATCTTCAGCGTTAGGGGGTTTTGTTTGTGCCAACACAAATAGCTATAAAATCTTATCGTTTCAATTCTGTTGATTGAGAATTTGGTTAATAAAAGTGGTTAACAAAAGCTTGTACGCTACTTCTTTATCCTTTCGGGTCTTTTCATTTTACATAATTTTTCCCTGATCTATTATTATTCCAGACAATCAAATCATAACATTTAAGCTAAAATGTGACAAATACACTTCCTGATAACTCAAAAGTCCTTGGAATTAAAATAGACTTAATCAGAGAAGAGCAAAGAGGTAATTCTTAGCAATGTCATGTTCTTGATCATAATGTAATCAGACTGTAATCTCTGCTGCTGAGTAGGTATCTGCATCTGCGCTGGCACAAACAGGTAAGTGCCCGTCTGTCTTTACCCACTTTTCAAAATGAACCTCCTCTTCGGTTACTGGAGTACATCACCAAGGCTAACCGGGTGAGCAAAAGGAATGTAACAGAGAGAAAAATAGCTTTCTTCCCTGTACTGGTATGGCTGGGTTTACTTCCAACATTGTATTAACATTTCCAGAAATGGTAGTTAAACTACGCGTGGGTCCGCACACATATGCGTGCTTACACGTACGCGTCCGGTGCTCTGGTGCGTACCCTCATCGGCTCAGCACGTGTTTTCTGTGTCAAGGCAGACCACCCAAACTGTTTCTACAGCTGAATTCTGGGATTATATTTTACTCTGAGATACTCTTTTATGTGACAGTTCCATGCTTGCATATATAGGCATACACGTAAAAACCTGGGAAGATCTGTATGTTCTTTTTCCCTGTGTTTAGAGATGTTGTCAAAGTTATTTAAAGTTAACTTTCCTGATAATAGGGTTCAATAGTAAACTAGACGTTGGGTTTACAGATTTAAAAAATAAAGGGGGTTTTGTGCTTAATAAAAAACCTGTTTGTTTGAGTGAATAAAGTCATCCTCTGATATTCTTCAGCTCTCGTTTCTTTGACAGCTTCTTAAACGATTGTAATGATATTATATACCAAGGTAGTTAGGATTATTTTCATTTTTTTTAAACAGAAATTATCTTTACTACTATTAACCGTGTTTTAATGCATACAAAAATTTGTTCTTCCTTAATTTATTATTGATATTAGTCTGTCCTAAACTGTTGTTTCAATTAATACTTAAGTTTCAACAATTGCTCTTGACATACAAAAAAAAAAGTCACAGATCGATTAAACAAATAATTCCTAATGTGATTCAAATTGTGAAGTAGGAAACCTTAACTCCGCTATTCTCGTTCTACTTTTTCACTTGCAGAAAGGCTGTTTTTTTCATTAACAGCTAGCTGCTGCTTCGTAAGAACAAAATGACTTGGGATGTGTTTCCTGCTGCTCTTTTCTAACTCGGCTGCTGCTGTCGAGAGCCGGGCCGGTGTTTCAGCAGTCCCTGCTGCAGGGTCCTTAGTGGCTATCAGCTCTCCAGTGGCTTCATGTTCTTGTATGTTTTTTGCACAGATCATATTTCCTGTGTGCTAGGCATTCTTTTAAATCATTTAAGTATTTTATTAACTATTTAGGTAAATTGACTAGGCTTTATACTTGATATGCTAGGCCCACCATATTTTAACGCTGAATGTAATTAAAAGGAAATGCAAATAAGCAGTTTTTTGAAAGCAGATTTTTCAACTTAGTTTGTTCTACTTCGACATTTTGTTGAAATTATACAGTGTGTGTAAAATACGTATTTATAAAACTACCAATTGTACTTTCTAAATGTATGTTTGTACGTGTATATATAGACGTGTGCTTCCCCCTCTCTAATTCTCCTTTTCTCTCTCTCCTATCTCTGTGGCTGTTCTGACTTTTTTCCAGCTTACCCTTCTTATCCCTTTGATTTGTCTTTTTAGCTTACCCCCATCGCAGCCTGCCTCCAAAAGCTGCCCTGGCATCAGCCCTGTATTGTCTTCCGTCGCATCATCCACGATGCTGTCCCACCTTCTCCGTAGTCTGCCTGGTTTGTACTTTCAAAATTCAGCATTTCAGGCCTCCGACTTGGTGCTGTGGCTACTTCTGCATCGCACTGTACACTGTGATGCCCGGGGTTTTTAACTCTTTAGAACAGTAAACAGCATTTGATTTTAGGTTACGTTGGGGCTGTTGGAAGAAACAGCAAGCATCGGATGGGATATAGGAAATAATCTTAAGACTCTGTTCCTCGATGCTCGTTTCACTTCACAGAGTTTCAGAAAGTTAGGTTTGCTCACATAATCTTTGTTTTTTCTATTCCAGTGTTGAAATGTATTTTCCCCAGAATGACTCCTGGATAGGCCTGGCACCTCTTAGCATTCCCCGCTATGAGTTTGGAATATGCGTCCTAGACCAGAAAATATATGTTGTAGGAGGGATTGCAACCCACGTGTGTCAAGGCATCAGTTACCGAAAGCACGAGAATTCGGTGGAGTGCTGGGACCCCGACACGAACACTTGGACATCTCTTGAAAGGATGTTTGAGAGCCGGAGTACTCTGGGCGTGGTAGTTCTGGCAGGAGAGCTCTACGCCTTAGGTGGCTACGATGGGCAATCTTATTTACGAACTGTAGAGAAATACATTCCGAAAGTGAAGGAATGGCAGCTGGTGGCCCCAATGAACAAAACAAGAAGTTGTTTCGCTGCAGCTGTCTTGGATGGAATGATATATGCCATCGGGGGCTATGGTCCTGCCCATATGAACAGGTACGTGCTTTTGATGCGTGTAGCTCCATGTCATAAGCTGAGGTCAGCAAAACTCACTCTTCAGCTTGTGTTTGGCGGCCAATTAAAAATTATTCAAAGGTAGATTGGTAATCCACCATGGACCTCATTAATCTTTGTTCTGCAGTATCGCTCTGATAATTCAACTGGGAAATCTTTATTTTAACTTATTTGTACATGTTCCAGCTCAGAGCTGGTTTACTTTCTTTCTTTCTTTGTTGTTTGGGGTTTCTTTTGAAAAATTCTTAAGAAGGGAAAATGGTAAAGACAAAGACATTCGGGGAGACCTTACCGCTCTCTACAGCTACCTGAAAGGAGGTTGTAGTGAGGTGGGGGTTGGTCTCTTCTGCCAAGTAACTACCGATAGGACGAGAGGAAATGGGCTCAAGCTGCACCAGGGGAAGTTTAGATTGGATATTAGGAAAAATTTCTTCATGGAAAGGGTAGTCAAGCGTTGGAACAGGCTGCCCAGAGAGGTGGTGGAGTCCCCATCCCTGGAAGTGTTCAAAAAACGGGCAGAGGTGGCACTTGGGGACATGGTTTAGTGGGCATGGGGGTGTTGGGTTGATGGTTGGACTGATGATCTTAGAGCTCCTTTCCAACCTTAGTGATTCCTAGTTTTTACTTTCATTAAAAAATAATCCAGCCACCAAGCTAGGGAACATTAAATTATTCCTCTCCCCTTGATTAGTTTAGTGTGGACTTGGTAGCGTAGGTTAGTGGTTGGACTGGATGATCTTAAAGGTCTTTTCCAACCTAAACGATTTGATGATTCTATATATGCATATTACTAAGCAAGGTGGTGCAAGACACCTGACCTTGTAGACACCCCCCCGTAGAATGCTTAGAATTAACACCCAAGCTGGTTAACTCAGCAGATCGCTGTTGGGTGGGCCTTTTGGGGAGGCCCCCAGGCAGTGTGCTCGTACCTGTGTCACAGTGCTGCACCTCAGCTGCTGGGCTCTCAGGAGAGGCTGCTTAGCCCTGTGCCAGTGCTACGTAAATCCTTGCACCGCAAGCCTGCAAAATAGTAGGATGCGTGGTTAACTTGAACGTTTAAAACGCGGACTTGAACTGAATAGGATTTTTCACACACTTAGTATACACAAAATAAATATATACCTCGGGCGGAATCTTGAAGTAGTCTTAATGATGATAATAAAGTTCAGGATGGTGGTTACTGGTCCAGCTCCTGGGTAGAAGTGGGCTTGCTTTGGACCTTTACGTTCACAGGGAGGTTTCCTGGTCCAAGCACGCTCTTTAATTGTTCTGTTCCACATCGCGCTCTAAGGATGGACAGGGACATTTAGTTATGCAACAAAATTGTACTCTCTTTCTTTGTTAAAATGGGAACAAATGGGCTGTATGTCCCTTCAGGAAGCAAATTAATAAACCACAAGTCTAAATAGCTGAGTAAAGAATGAAAATGAAAATCTTGCTTATAGGAAGGGATGCATTGGTTGTTTAACAGTGTAGTATAACAACATTGCAGTAATCATTAATTGTACTTACTTTTTACTCTTGATATTTTTTTATATAAAAGTTTGTGAAGCAAAGGACTGGTTTCCAAATAGGAAAGTATAGCTAATCAGTTTTCATTTGGAAAATGCAAACAATTCTTAAAATTCCTGAAATACAAAACAGCAATGAGTTAAACTGTTTGGTATGGTTGTGACAGGATTTTATGACGCTTAATGTGACATTGTTCTAATGTCTTACATTTTAAGTTACGAACTATAATAGCAGTTGAAATACTTAATAGACAAGCAAGTTATCTCTAAAAGTTTTCTGTTGACTCTAGGATTTCTTCACATGGGAATTTGACCAGGAATAAATAAGTTGTGCTGCTGTCCTGTGGTCACTCTTAGCTCTGTGCCATCTTTGTACCATGCAGAACGTCGGCTCGCGTAGTGGGTGAAAGGAAGCAAAGTCGGTCGCGGAGCCGATCGGGCGTACCAGGGATTGCAGTGCAGCCAGCACCCGCAGGTCCCACAGTAACCTTGGTGCACAGACCATAAAAAAAGGAAGACAATGGAGCCCTTGCTCTTGCCAGAAGCGGCTCCCAAAAGTTGAACGCTCAGTGTGCACGCAGGCCTTTGAAAGGTGAACTTGGTAACCTCCTTTAGGAAATACAAGACTCGTCACTGGAGTAGTAGGAAATGCCTTTGTCAAGCTGGTAGCTTTAAAGGGAACATCAGAATTCTGCCGTAGCCTCGCTCCTTGCGCCACATCTCTCTTCCTCAGTCAGAGGGGAATTGCCAGCAGCTCCTGTAGAGTTCTTAGAATCTGGTATTTCATTATTTGCCTTTTTAAATTTGATTTACTTTTTACTGAATAATTTTGGGTTTATTGATTATTCAAGGGTGCGGGTAATATGCCATGCCGTACGGTCGCTAGACTCATACGAGCTCTAGCATTAGGAGCAAGCTGGCTGCTGTGTCATTGAGCACCTTTTCTCCACTCTGTAGTGCTGGTTTTCTGTTCCCCTGTTCTCTGCCCCCTCCTGCTACTGAAGCTACACTTTGGATAGGGAATGGCTACGTGCCATGAGTGTGTTAATGACTGGGACCATCTGTACAGCTCTGGTGATTTAAAAAAAAATAATAACGATGATAATTCATTTCCCTTTTATCCTGGAGGCCTCCTCTATCCTTAGTGTTTTGATCAGCAACCTCTTTACTGCTTTTCCTGGGGGATATGCTCTCCACATGGCTTTTTCCTCTCCGTCTGTTATTTTCAGGCAAGCCTCAGAGAAGTTTTTGATTCGATGTGTTACCCAAATAGGTGCACTTCAGATCTGCATTGTATTCAGTTTTTCATGAGTTGCCTTTTTTACAAATAGCAGCAGTCATTCTTGAAAGAGCTTTCAGTTCTGAGGCCAGCTTTGAAAAATCTTGCTGTGTTTCAGTATGTAACCTGAAGATCCAGGGTAGTGGCACAAGGACATCGGAGAAGCAGCTGAACTGCAATCGCTGTGTCAGGATGAAATATGTTAAAACTGCCTTTTTGGCAACACTCTGTTGAGAACCTCCAGCTGCTTCGTGTTGTCGGAGGACCCTAGGATGCGATTGATGCTTCTGAGGGGATAAGACTGTACCCTTGGGTAGTACAAAGCAACCACGCCGCAGGATTTTCCATCAGCTCAAGCACTCTTTTTGTCACGTTGTTCCTGTGTGTGGTAATACTGGTTGGCAGAACTAGATGTACCTCTGACAAATGCAGATTTCTTGTGGAGTGAAATTCAATTGTCACTCAAATCCAAGCCTCACCAGTTGTTTGTTTGTATTCGCAGCATGGAGCGTTACGATCCAAGTAAAAACTCATGGGAGACAGTCGCCTCGATGGCTGATAAACGAATAAACTTCGGTGTCGGTGTCATGCTGGGCTTCATTTTTGTAGTAGGTGGACACAATGGCGTGTCTCACTTATCGAGCATTGAGAGATACGATCCTCATCAAAATCAGTGGACTGTGTGTCGACCCATGAAGGAACCCAGAACAGGTAGGGACATACAAAACTCTCAGCAGTCAACTCAGATGTCCTTTCAGAAATAAACTGCCGTTTGACCCGATAGAAGCTGCAGTGAAGTTGCAGTGACTTGTCTGCAGAGCACTGCACTTTATCTGTGAATGAAGATCGCTTCATCAGCTCCGTGAAAGAATGAGTATATATTTCTCTTTTTAATTAGTCCAGTTTATTAATACCGAGCTGTAACAAAAATAATATGAAGTAATATTTCTACTTTACCTTCTATTTTTTCTTTTTTTTTTTATTTTCTTGGTGTTTTTTAGCTTCGGCAATTCTCTGGTTACTGTTCTGTTGCACTTTATTTTACGTTGAGACTCAGTCGTGCATCCTCTCTTCTGTCCCCTGACAAGGAGTACTGGGACAGAAGAGCATCGCTTTGCCATAGGAAAGGGCACTAGAACAGTCAAAAAGGAGTGCAAGCCTGCACAGAGAGGGACTCTTCATTTACACCTCTTTTCTCTAAAGACAGCCCAAAGGAGAGGCTGTGAGAACTTGCCTGTTCAGCCTTCAGGTGTGGGGGGGTGGTGGTTCCAATTAGGAACAAAAATACTACTTATTTCCACGCTTGGTGACCGCGCAATCTTTTCTTCGTTGCTGTTTCCAACAGGAGTTGGTGCCGCTGTAATCGATAACTACCTTTATGTAGTTGGAGGTCATTCAGGGTCGTCCTACCTGAACACTGTCCAGAAATACGATCCCATCTCGGATACCTGGCTGGACTCTGCCGGGATGATGTACTGTCGATGCAATTTTGGTTTGACTGCGCTTTGACGAAAAGCACGACTTTACGGACCTGGTGCAAAGAAGGAGCTCGGTCTGCTTGAAAATAAACCCTGCTGGTGGAGACCGTAAGCTGCGTTTTCTGAAGGTGGAAAATTGGAGGAATGTGGTGAAACGGGGATTGAAATGAGGAAGGATTTGTTTTCTCCCGGTAACTGGCCTTTGTTACTTTAGCGGCACGGGCAGAAGGAACGGGAAGCTTATTGCCGGCTGGGTTTAGAGAGCTCCCTGTTGATGGCAGCGAGTTGTAGAGAGTACTGTACATGCCTGGGATATGATTAGAAAACTTACTGTATATCTAACCCTTTCACTTTCTAGATCTTTTCTCTCTTCCTCCTGCCTACTATGAAATACGAAGTTTACTGTGCTTGGGGTGAGAGACGTGCGGATGTGCTGTACGACTGGACAGTGTGCTGGTAGTTGTCTGGTTGTGTCTTCATATTAAGAAAACGCCAGTGCTTCATAAATTTTTTTTTTTATGAACAGTAACTAAAGGGCTGCCTTGTTTCTGTATCTCAAGGTTTGTAAATAATAAATGCCATAGTATGTTGCCTGTACACTCTCCTTCGTTACCCGCTTACTGGTAGGAGGGCTGGGACGGTAATTAGTAACTACTTAAAGAAATTTACAAGGCAAATTTATTGCCTCTTAATGAAATTTTTAGAGCTGCTGAAGAGAAATCACATTTTTAACTTCCCTTATGTTTTCTCTTTGTGGATAAATGAGTGCTAGAGTAAATGACTTAATCTTGCTAGTCTGCTGTGTGTTTTCACTTGTAATGCAAGGGAAAATTACAACGGTTGTGCATCGGAAGATGCCACAGCAGTATTCATAGCATGATATAAAATAAATACTCAAAAAATTAATCCGTCCCGTCCTTCTCCCGAGCGCACGTGTGTCCGTAGTCCGTACAACTTCCTTTTTTAAAAGAATGTACGATTGCTTTCTCAGAGTGTTCAGATACAAAAATGGTGCTAAATGTAGGACTTAACGATAAGGCTGTTACTGATTTTAGTGCAGTATGCATAAAGCATGATTGTTTTGATTGTTCTAGTGTTTTTGTTTCTTACTTGCTTGATACATTCGTGCCTAATGAAAACTGTCAAGAATAACTCAATGAATGAGCGCTATGTTTGTTACTTTTTTTTTTCTCCCCCCAGAAGATCTACCTTTATTGTTCCTATTCTCACAAATACATAAATAGGGGGATCCCGTAAATAGCGGGATCCCATCTGGGGTTCTCCAGACAGCCTTGCCTTTAACACCGGTCGCAACGAATGCGCAGCGCGAGGCAGGGTTGCTGCTCCCCAGCGAGTGTCCCGCGTCACGGAGTGCGGAGGCTCGGTTCCTGTGGCTGACCGGGACCTCAAGAGATACAGCTTTGTGATAGCCCTGCACTTAGCGGAAAATTTGGGCGGATAAACAGAAAGCGATGCTGTGGGTTATAACCGTTATTTAAAATAGATGACTGACTAAGTGTGAATTTTAGCTCATTTAGAATGTATCGGTTTGTCTTCTGATTTTAACTAGGAATCACAGTTACCTTGAATTTCTGTTTTGATGTCTGTCTGTATGTGTATCGCCAGGCCTGGTACTGAAGAATTTTTCTGCCTCCAAAGTTGTTTTCCCCTTGTTTTAACATGTTAAATTAATGTTTGTTTCCTCTTGTGTTTCAAGCCCGTATAGTATTATTCTTGAAGGTGCAATAATATTTGAAATAGTTGCTTTAAAAGCCATTTCTTTATAAGTATGCGAAGTGGAGAGTTTTGAGTGTACTTGATTTATTCTAAGTTCCTGCAAAGCTAATTGCAGCCAGGCAAACAGCGGTGTTCCTTGTTCTTCCGTAGGCTAGCGTTCAGATTTTCAACAGTCGAGGAGACGAGGGTGTTTTCACCAACAAACGTTATTCAGAGATGACGGGTGTTTGCACAGATTGTAAAATCCTGCACGTATTCTTCAGATTTGGTAGAATTGTGCAGGACTTTAAAAGCAAATAAAATTAACAAGTTCAGCGTTTTCAATGCAGTTTATTTGACCCACTAAGGATTCTAGTTATATAGCAATAATAGTGTAACTTAATAATTCCAGTGCATCTGTTGACAGGACCCAAGTAGCTACGTGGTTGTGTTGCGTGTTTGTGCGTGGGGAGAAGGGAGGGGAGCAGGTTTGGGGCTGGTTACGGGAGGTGTTTCAGCCTGCTGCGTTGATGGCCTTCCCCTCCCGTCCGGGTACATGCACGAGCTGGATGTTGCCATGGCTGTTTTGCTTCTCAGTCCGTTCCACAGAGATGCCGTTGATTATCGTATTTTCCAATATACACCCAAGAGAGAGACGCTTAACAAACCAATATTAAAATAAGAAAAATTCCTTACCTAGAAGAGAAGCTTATGCCTTTTATTGATAGGAGGCTTTCCACGCAGTTCGGTACATACCGTACCTTTCGAAGTTCAACTACAGGAGGATTCCATGAATGAAGATGCTCGTGTACGTGTTCTGACGGGAACTATTAGCAAACACCGTTTTCAGCTAGTAGAAAGCAGTGCGAGGCATAGAAATCGTTTTGCCTTTGTCAGAACAAAAAAAATCCGTAGGTCAGGGTGGTGTTGATGGTTATTCAATGTTTATTTAAACATCTTTCATTTGTGGAAGTCAAAGCACTTGAAATTGCAAAATGTTTTGTTCTCTTTACCTAGGCAGTGGCAATGTTAAATTAGGCCATAGAGATTGACCCCATAAGCCGTCGTGTGGTATTGCCGCGTTTAAGATAGCGGCATAAACAATTTTTTAGTACGCAGGCTTGATGTGAAGAATGGGGAAAATGCCCAGTGTACTGCTGTTATTAGACGAACTGTCTAGCTAGAAATGGATCGAACAGTGCATCAACCTAGGGATCGTGTCACCTAAAATCATGCCAACTTCATTTTCTGTTCCGGGTGCTTGTTGTCCTGTTCACTGAAGTGCTTGGTTATAGGAAGATCAGACACAACAATCAGTTTAAATCTGCATTTAAAGAACAGTACTCTCGTCGTAATGTCTGTCTTGCAGTTTAAAAAATTAAGGACCTTCAAATAAGATGTCATACAACTATAAATTATCATCCAGTTCTATTTCTTAATCACGCAAAATTATCTGTAAAGCACTTTAAAATGGGTATGAGTTTATATGTGTACATACAGTTCCTGAATTCCTGCTTTTTTTTTTTATTATTAGATATTCATCTGTAAGCTTCTTGACAGTCTCTCCTACTAGGAATGCTTTTCTTTCAGAAAATCTAGTTGGAATTTCTAGAGAAGAGAAGATGTCCAGTGCGCATTGCAAACAGTTAACTGTTTCTGGGAGGTAGCGTGTTACTTTTGTGAATTTGCCATCTGTAAGTTCCCATTCACTGTATGAAACAATGCAAAATGTCCAAACTTGCCTTAAATTCTTGATATTTAACTGAAACACAAAGAACTGGATGATAATTCCTATTTTTTTGCCTTATGCGCTGTGCTGTATTTTAAACCCAAGGGTAACTATAATTTTTAGCAGGATTTAATAATTGTACAGAGAATACCAAATTGTACTCGGGCTTGACCAGAGTGCGTTGGTTGGGAGTATAAAATGATATACGTAGTTTTGTGTACGTAGAGTGTTTTTATGTGTACATCTTTTTTAGCAGCAATGTTCTGGTTTTGTTATTGTTTACAGAAGCGGCATTTGAGTTCAACAGGAAAAATAACTGTAACCTGCATTCTCGGTCTTTACTAGTGTTCTCAATGTGTTTTGCTCTTGTGATAATGCCCTGTAAGTATTGTTGTAACTATTTCATTGAATGTGAAACAATTTAGTAAATAAACCTGGGGAAAAAAACTCATTTTTACGCTTCCGTTGGGTGGTGAATCTAAATACACGTTACGGGGTCTTTGCCTCCTTGGGATCAGGGGCTCCTGTGGAAGAGGATTTCGGCACGTGGCTTGCTGTTTCCATCTGTCCCTGTCACTGTCGCCTCCCTGATGAGTCGGTAGCCATCCAAGGAACAGAAATCCGCTTGTTCTCGCTGTCCTTGGCAGAAGAGCGGGCTCTAAAAAGCTCCCGTACAAACTGTTCTCTCCTGGTGACGACCCAGCGTTGCTGAGTGACTGCAGAAACGGGATCTGTTCGGGGCCAGAGCACTTTGCAGCTAAATAATTTCAGTTTACTGTTAGGCAGCTCTTCACGGCTACGGTTTAGGTGCTGGTTTTGCTTTTGGGTGATGGTTTACGTCAAGTAAGGGCAGGCACCCCTCTCTTCAGTAGCGAAGTGGAAATTTAGGACTTGGCGATTGGTGAAGTGATTCTTTTGCTGGCTTCGTCGAAATACAGGCAGAAATGGTTAATTTTTTTACGTAGTTGAGAGCAGGGGGTAGCATGCTGACCTCGCTTTCTTGCCCAATTCAAGGTCTGGTCGCTGCTGGAGATGCCATTCCCCGCTGGTACTCGGGGGTACTTGACAATACTCTCCATAAAACCGGCGTACCAGTGTCATCTGTGAGCTCCAGCTGAAAAACGCCGCCTTTTATAGTCTCGGTCATGCTGATGCTGGCACAAAAGGAAAATACTGAAGTGATTTTCTTGGGAGGAGCGGGGGAAGATTTACTGCATTGACAAAAGGCTCAGGTAAACCCCTCAAGGACACAGTTTTGGCTTTCCCCAAGTTTAAGGGTTGCTGCTGCACCTTGCTGTAGCAGGGACTTCAAACCCCATTTTACAGACAGACAGGGCAGGGGAGGATTTTTGCTGGTTTATTTTAGCATAAAGTTACCCATTTTTAAAAAATAATAAGATTATGCCAGAAATATACAAACACCTTGCGTGGCATTTGACCTAAACCAGCACTAGGCAGCAGACGCACAGCTCCTGGAGTCCTCCTCTTTCTTTGGGTCCCAAGTCTGTGTAATACACAGACCTTAATTTTAGGAATGGCCAGGAACGTAAAGGTGAAAGGAACGTAACTTAGGGCTTTTTAGCTGTCTAATGTTAACTAGAGAAAACAAAAACCTGATGCTTTATTTTAGAAATGGCAATTTTTATAAGTCCATCATAGGTGCATCCAGTGAGCATCAATCTGGGAAGCTGCAGTATAGTGCTTTTCTTTAGAATCACAGAATCACGGAATGGTTTAGGTTGGAAAAGACCTTTAAGATCATCCACTCCAACCATTATTCTAACATTACCAAGCCCACACTAAACCAATCAAGGGTAGACCAGACTGAACCATGTCCCCAAGTGCCACCTCTGCCCGTTTTTTGAACACTTCCAGGGATGGGGACTCCCCCACCTCTCTGGGCAGCCTGTTCCAGTGCTTGATCACCCTTTATGTGAAGAAATTTTTCCTAATATCCAACCTAAACCTTTATTGAAGAGCATGACACCTTCCAATAAGTACCTGAAAATAAAAAGTTGTACGGATAGCACACACATCCCATGCAGGTGTCTGCTGATGGAAAAAGCATCTGGCAGGCACCTGCCCTCGCCCAGACGGGTCTTCCCTGCACCCAGCTCTCGCAGAGGCCTGTCCTCTTCCCTGAGGT